GAGGAGGAGGAGGAGGAGGAAGAAAAGGAGGAACTGGGGAAAAACATGGGGAAAGGTGATCACGATGATGGGGAGGTGGGTAAGGAAGAGGAGGAGGAGGAGGAAGAGGAGGAAGAAGAGCAGGAGGAAGAGGAGAAAACGAAACATTCGCTGTTACTCCCGGCGAGATGTGGCGGGCTAGGCACTGGAGGTTCGCCACTGCAGCTCAAGGGACCTGGCTCGCGATCCAACTCGAATATGGCTGCTCGTCCCCTGTGATAAGGCGGCGCCGGGAGGAAAGCTTGGAGCTAGGATGGCAGCAGCAGCTGCCATCTCAAAGACGGGTCACGCCAGCCAAAAGTGTTTTAGAGCCTTCGCGTGGTCCACACAAGCCTGCTCTTTTCACGCGCGGCGGGCGACTGATTATGTTGCGAGCTGCGCCATGGAGATCCGCCACTGAAGCTTGCAGGAGAGGAGCGTGCCCGACTGAAAGGCCTGGCTCGCGACCCGATGCGAACGTCTATGATGTATGCGCGTCCGCTCGCCCCGAACTTTCGGGACCCAGGCCGAAGTTCACGGCCAAGCCGCCCTGAACGCACAACGGACCCAGGCTGGTCCAGGAATCTCAACTCGAGATCGGAGCCCCCGAAGACAAGGCTCGCGGCTTTCTTATATGGGGGCCCCGAAGCTTCGGTGATTAACCGCGACCGCCCTGCTGTGGTCGTGCGACCGCACTGATATTAGAGCAGGACCATGCCACGTATGACTGCTGCGAGGATGCTCGAGGCAGACCGCGACGCGCATTCGGCTGCACAAACGAAGCGTTCGGAGCGCCAACTCAAAACAGGCATCACCCTGGTCGACCTTCTCTTGTTGGGTTTGGGGATGGCCAGGGAGGCCACGCGAGCGCTCTCGCATGCGCAGCGGCACGTGGACATTCTGCGCCAAAGCAACGCGGGGCCAACATCACGGCCAAACGCACGGCCCGACACAATGCACGATCGCGGGCTGGCCTCGACGCAGAGGCGAAGGAGGTTGCCGGCAGGCCCCGCCTTGATGCCCTGCTCTCGCGAGCAGTAGCCAGCGCACCTCGCGGCCGCCGCCGCGCGGCCCGCGCCGCTGAAGAGCTCGGGAATTAAGAGGGGCCGCGGCTGAATTGCGGGCGCCGGCGGAGGGCGCGCCCGCGCGCGGCGCGCACCTCGATCGGGCGCTCGCAGTCGAAGGCGCGGGCCCGCTGCGCCGCGCCCAACTCCCGCCGCGCGTCGTTGAGCCGCCCCGCCTTCTCGCGTCTCGCAGCGCTCTCGGCCGATCGCCACCAGCCTCTTTCCTGTTATGTTTTTTATCTGCGTTCTCGGCGAGCTCGGTCGATCAACGCCCCGCCGCGGCGCGGCCTTGACGCGGCGCCATCTCGAAGCCGTGGGCCACCGCCGTCACCCGCGTGAACATCGTGTAGAACTGGCCGCGCCCCCAAAGGAAGACGCGCTCCAAGCCCGGGCCCTGGCCGAGGCGCGTGAGCGCGCGGTCTAGCCACGGAGCCCAAGCAGAATCCATCGCCGTCGCGTCGTCGGCCCCCCTCGTCTTGCTCTGGGTCGCGCTCGTTCCGCCGGGGAAGGAAGAAGCCCTGCCTGCCAGGGCCCCCGCGAGCCGGCGGCGGCGGAGACCAGCGCAGGAGCGACGGGCGCTCCGACGGCCGCAGGCAGGCCACCACCGTCGCGACAATGCCCACCGCGGCGACGCATCGCCCCGGCCGCATCAGCTGCAGCGCGAGAGCGACCCACGCGGGCCACGGCAGCGGCGCCCGACGCGTGGGCGACCCGAGAACCCGCGACCCAGCCGCGCGGAGTCAGCCCACGCCACCTCATGAGTTGGACGACCCATGTCTTCACCTACAAGGGAAGATGCGAAGAAACCCAAATCGTCAAATTGCTTATCCTGCGCCGCGTGCCCCGGTAGCTTCGACGCGTTGGACCCCCTTCGAATCGCCCCTTGACGCCCGCGCCCGCATGGCCGACGCGCGCCGCGGGCAAGCGTTCGCCTGGCCGATGGCGAACAAAATCCTCCGGCACGCGCTCCCGCGTGAAGAAGGGCGCGAACGCCATGAAGCCGTCCGCGACGAGGCGCCCGAAATCGTCGCCTCGAAAGGGGGGGGTCTCATTTTCCTTTTTGCACCTCCTCCGCCCCGCCCGCCTATCGCGGCGGCCCCTCCCAGGGGATGGCGGGCGGGGAGAGGGGTGGGGGGCGTCGGGGTCGTTCCTGGATGTTCGGGGCACACCCCCATCCCCCTTTTTGCCTTCGCAATGGCCTTGGCCATCAGGCCGGCGGCTGGCATCGCGGCGACATAATTATGACGTCGCCGATTTCCACGCCCGCGCGCGAAGCGGCGGGCATGGCTCGCCTCGCACGGGCGAGCCCCACCAAAACCGAAACAGCTTCGATCGGGGTGGGGGGCGGCAGTGAGGAGCAAGCGGGTTCGGAAGAGAAATCCGATGACGGTGGGACACTACTTGCGCCCTCGGTGGGCGCAACCTATTTGCTCGACGCCCCACCTGACAACTAGTTCAATGCGTTGTACGTGTTGCACGTTGTTCGACAAACTACAAAAGTCTGTCAACAACACGTTTGCCCCCAATCCGCGCGCGCTACTTTTGGGAAACTGAACGCGCGCATCCGCCCGACAATGACAAATCTGTGTTCGTGGATCCTCGCATCCAACATCATCTGAATCATAGTCTGTCAAAGCACGACACGTGCTCACATATGACGACACGTAAACATACTTCGAAAATCATATCACGCATGCGTTTAGAAGTTTGCAAATTATCGTGCGATGTGTCCTCGTTGCGATGAGTCCCAAATTGTTTGCGAAGTCCGATTTTCAGACAGTCATGCACACCCCCGCCACAAAAAAATCAACTGCTGAAAAAATCCTCTATTTTGGCAAACCGTCTTCAACGCGCCCGTCGCGCCATCGACGCCGCAAGCGCCGCGGCCGCCCAGCCCCGGCGCCCGGCTGCGACCAGGGCCGAAAGGCGCAAGGCTTCGACGCGGGCAGCTCAGTTCGCGAGGTTGCGGAGCTCGGGCGACGCTGCGTCGAAAGGGCCGCTCGTCCCCGTTGGGAACCTGCCAGTGCGCCACGCGGGATGCCTCGCTGATCTGAGCCACTCGACGCGCCACCACCTCCAGACAGGCCAGGCTGCCCAAATCCAGGGCGTCGAAGGTTCCGGCCAGCCAGAAGATCCGTCACCAGGCAATTCACCTCGTGCCATGCTCGATCTCGCTGGCTGGTTCCGCACGGCCGGCAGACGTTGCTCATCCACGTCATGGGGCCTCCGCCATGCTGCGTGAAGCGCTGGCTAGAGGTGCAGGGCAGTGCCAGCCCTGCGCAGCTCGCAGCCGCCCAAAGCCCCCACGCTGCCCTCGCCCACGGCGCGACGCCACTCCTTGAAGCGAGCGCCCTGCTCGTTCCACTCCACGCGGACGGCGCGCGCGTCGTCCGCCGGGAGGCCGGCCCCCTCGCCGCGGGGCGCGGGCGTGCCCTCCACCTCCTCGCGCGGGCGATCGGCAAGCGCCTCGCGGAGGTCGGCGGGGCGGGGCTGGGATCTCTCAGCCAGGGGCCCAGCCGCGGGGGGCGGCAGGGTGGCGCCCATGCGCCTAGCCCTGTCAAAAGCCTGGGACCGTCACTCCTCGACCACGCTGGCCCAGCGTCGGGAGGCTGGCCGCCTCGCCCCGCGGGGGCTCGGAGCCATGGCCAGGGGCCAATTGCCCGTCAGCCTCGTCCCCGGGGGGCTCGGGGAAGCGGGGGGCCACGGCCAGGGGCCACTTGCCCCTGAGGCGGCGCCGGGCAGCATCAAGCACCCCGATGTCGCACTCGTCGCCGTGAACCCCTCGGGCCAACCGTGGAGAAGCGAGGAATGCCAGACCCAGTCCGCGCGCCGTTCGACGTAGCGATCACCGTCGGCCGACCAGCACTCGTGTCGGCGGTCCATGTAGACGTGCCGGAGCAGCAGCCGTTCATGAGTCCACTCATCGCCGTCGAACCGGCGAAAGGTCACTCTGACGTGTTGTCGCCCCCGCGCGCACGCCCCTGGCGGGCAGCCCGGGCAGGGCCTCGGCGCTGGGTGGCAAGCGGGGCGCCGGGGGCACGACAGCGGCCCCGCGAGCGCCACCCGCGCCGCCTCGGCCCCGGCCCCGCGCGCCCGCTCCCGCAAAACGCCAGGGCCCGCCGCCGCCGCCGCCAAGGCCGCGCAGAGGGCCGCCACCATGCCAGGTGGCCGGGGCCCTCGGCGCGCTGAAGCTCGGAGCCGGGATGCCAGCAGCGTTGCCACTTCAAATACAGGTCACGACAGCCTGGGGTATTCAAGAGCATGCACGTGGCCCCCCCCCCACACACACACAAACAACAGGAGAAATGAAGGGCTAGGTGGTCGAAGGGGTTGACGTTGTGGGAGGCTCTCGTGGTTTGGGGGGGCTGTGCGCGGAGGAGAAGGAGTTGAAGAGGGGAGGATCGGGTGGAGGATCAGCAGCACATGAGCAGGTAGAGGAGGAGGATGAGGATAGGCATAAAAGAAGGAGGAGGATAAGGAAATGAGAAGCAGGCGGCGAAAGAAACGAGAAGTGAGGAACTGGAAACTGTCTTTTCTTGCCTGTCTGTCCTAACGACGCAGGCTGAGCAGCCTACGCTACCCCGGCCTTGCGGGATGGGAATTTGCGGCCTGCCCAGGATCGATAGAACTCCCAAGTGGGGCCCGGCCAGCTAGGGGTGATGAGTTGCACCGCGTCGCCGATGCACTGGCGACGTCGGATCGAGAACATCGGGCTCCAGTTTCTAGGTCAACTGACGTCGCCCATCGCGCCGCTCCCTGGCCAGCTCGGCGGCCCCCAGCCGCGACGCGCGGCGTTCTTCGCGCCCCTGGGGGTGACCCACACATCACGCCGCACCGTCGATGCATCGGCGATGCGGCACGCTCCCCCGACCCCACCTGCTCCGACCGCACTGGGGAGGGCCCTGGGGCTGTTCCCGTTCACCAGGCCCGCGAGTCCGCTCGCTCTTGGAGCTCGCCCGCGCGCCCGTCGCCCGTCCGCTCGGGCGCGCCGCCGCTCATGGAAGAACAAAAAAGCGGCGTCAGCATGACCTGAGGGCTGAAAGCCCACGTGGCTGGAGTCACATGTGGAACATCCAGTGGCCACGACGCTGGATGATAGGATATAGGCGCGGAAGCCCTAGGCGCCAGCCACAGGGGCCGAGCACTGGAAAAGATCTGTCGGAGGCGGGCCAGCTGAGACAACGGCGGCACTCCTGCCCGGCCCAGAGCCGCTCAAAATCAGTCCCCAGACCCCTCTGGGGGGTCCATCCTGATCCGCTCTTCGAGGCGGATCCTGCCGTGGCGACGAGAAGCCTCCGGGAGGGCCATGGCTGGCTCCGGAAGCCCTGAACCAAAACATGCTGCCGTATTTATACTACGGCTGCATCTTTCACTTCCGCTAACTTCCGCCGGCGGCGGAGGCCGCCTCGTTTTGCTTCCTTTTACCAACGCTACACCCTCGACTAATCAAACTGGATGTCTTACGGCGGGCCCAATTAAAAACAACCGATATCTCGGCGCAGCGTGATTCGGGCATGAACTAGCTGGGGCCTGAAGGGAGCGCTGAGGCAGGGGGGCGGGAAGCGTTGGCCTACCGCCCGCACGGTCCCGCCCTCGAGCACCCCCTCCGTTTTTCTTCCGCCGGCTTCCGCCGCCCCTGCGCCGCCTTCCGCCGAGGAAGCGGCAACGACTCCCTCGACCCTCGAAGGCGAGGCCCTTCCTGGAACGCCCCCAGTGAAGGACGGAAAAGGCCAGGTCCGGTGCTGCTAGGAGTGCACCTGCCCCAGGGCGCCCCGAAAAATCCCCGAGGAGGCCCCCATGGGCTCCAGAGCACAACCTCCCGAGACCGAGAGGGCCCCAGGGGCCCCCGAGTGGAGCGAAGAACTCAGGGCACTTGCGGGTGTGGCTCGCGGGGCCCATCACGAGCATCCCCTCCGTCGGGCGCGGGATAGTGTTCCTCCTCCTCCTCCTCCTCCTCCTCCTCCTCCTCCTCCTCCTCCTCCTCCTCCTCCTGATTCCTCCTCCTCCTCCTCCTGCTCCTCCTCCTCCTCCTCCTCTTCCTCCTCCTCCTCCTCCTCGTCCTCCTCCTCCTCCTTTTCCTCCTCCTCCTCCTCCCCCTCCCCCTCCCCCTCATCCTCCTCGTCGTCGTCCTCTTCCTTCTCCTCCTCCTCCTCCTCTTCTTCTTCTTCCTCCTCCTCCTCCTGAAAGTCGCCAGGCGGCACAGGGCACCTGTGCGGGAGGGGTGATCCACGGAGGCCCTCCTCGGCCTCGCGCAGGGGCGCCTTTGGCCCGAAGAGGAGGAGGAGGAGGAGGAGGAGGAGGAGGAGGAGGAGGAGGAAGACGAGGAGGAGGAGGAGGAGGAGGAGGACGAGGAGGACTATGGGAGCTGGAACGCTTCACGAAAACCTTGCATTTTTTGTAGTTCAACTTCGTGCCTAGCATACGCCATTCGTGCTGGGGGGCTCTCGTGGCCTGCTCCATCTTCGGGATCCGAACGGGGCGGGGGGCCGAGGGACGGGTTTCGGTCCACGGGTCCGCCTGACTGGACTCTGCCAGAGCCCTCCTCGCACGCTTTCGAGTCAAAAAAATCTCCGTGCCCGCCACGTCTGTGGTCGGGACCCTCTGGGCGAATTCAGACCAGTGGACGCTCCTCTGGATGCGAGCTCGTCAGCACACTCTTACCCACGGCCCACCAAATGTCCTGAGGCGCGCGGATGTCCTCGGCCCCGCGGTGGGAGAGGGCCCACACTAGAATGACAGGGTGCGGCCCGCGAGCTCCGGAGACTCCGGCTATCCTGGGCCAAAGATCGGCACTCACACAACTGAGCGACGCAGCCAGATGCCGACCTCTGTTCCAGCCTTGCACGAGCGGAAGGTGATCTGTGACATAACGGAGCGGCCCCCGCGAGCATTCGAGAGCCCGCGTGCACGCCATGAGCTCGGCCCTGGGGGCCGTTTGTCGGGCGCCTCCGAGTCCGCGCGCGACCCCCGCAACAGGGGCCCATCCACCTGCTGGAGGGGCTTCGAGGGCGCGCGCTCCCGAGCCAACTCTCCTGCGACGCAGGCCCGACGAACATTGGCCCCCGAGCCGTCCCCAGAGAGCACGAGGAACCCGTCGGGGCCCCTGGGAGCTCGGGGGGGAGTCACCGAATTCGGAGCGGCGGGGAGGGAGGTCGAGGTCGAAGGTGGGGGTCGTGTCCTCGACACCCGGGAGGCCTCGCAGCCAGTGCGAGGGCACGCCTCGTGGCCAGCGCTCGCCAAAGGGAGGCGGGCCGACTTTTCAAAGTCGGCATGGCCGGTGATGCAAGGACAGATCCAAAGGCTGCAGAAGAGTGCGTCAGGCTCCTGGACACAGCGCGGTCACTGCACGGGTGCCTCATAGCCCGCCTGCGCCCGGCGCTGGTGGGTCCACTGGCCGCCCGAGACGACCGCCGCGTCGAAGGCCCAGTGGTCGTCGTCGTCGCCGCGCCGCTGGAGGCGCTGCAGCTCTCGGTTCACCATGAGGGCGTCGGCTTCACACGCAATGTCCGTGGGGCCCTGGTGCAGGAACGCCTGCCTCCAGAGCTTCTTGTCGATGAAGCGTTCGTGCTCGCCCAGCAGCTCGACGTCGTCCGCCGCCGCCACCGCGAAGCCGCCCTGAGTGTGCTTGGGGGGGCACCACCCGACACCGCCCGCGGAGACGCAGAAATCGCGGTCGACGGCGGCCCAACCAGCATCGACGAGCGCTGCGATCGTGGCTGAGACAGGGCCCCACAAGTCTCCAGCGGCACTCTCCAGCAGCGTGGGGCCTCCTGGCTGCGAGGTGCCAGGCCTTGGCGATCCTGGCGTGGAGCTCAGGGTGGCTAAACCAGAGGTCCAGCCAGGCCGTCAGCCGCCCGCGCGGCACGCTCCTGGCTGGGCCCGCCCTGCCGCATGCACTTGCCTGGGCCCAGGCCCACGGCAGCGCGGGATGCCTGCCTCGTCAGCCTGGGGATCTCGTAGTGCGGCAGGCCGTGCACCTGGTGGCCGTAGACGCCCTGGGCCCTCGCTCCAATCGTCCAGAAGCTCTTGGTGACCGCCTTGGGCCTCGCCGCCCTCCTGGAACGCTCGACGGCGCTGGCCCTCGCGGCAGCCCTCTGCGTCCTCTGCCTGCACTTGCTTCTGGCGCGCGTGCGGGCCGCGTTGCAGCCCGCCCCGAGGTCGGCGAAGCTGCCCTCCGCTTTTACTGGAACTCCTCGCCGCTGAAGTCCCTTGGCGACGGCAACGGAGAGCTTCGGGGCGCTCGCGACGACCGAGGTCTTGTGGGGGGGCTGCGAGGCCAGCGTCCTGGAGGCGCTGCCCCTGGTGTCGACCCCCTCCCCAGCTGCTTCTCCTCGACGTCGGCCTCCGCGCCCTGCGCCCGCAGCGCGGCGTCGCCCGCGGACGCCCAGAGGCCGATGCCCGCTTGCTTCGCGAGCTGGGCGCTGGAGGATGGGGCCCATGAAGGCCTTGGCGAGCCGCGCTCCTGCGCGGGGGGCCTGCCACGATGGATTGCATCGGCTGGGCCCCCCTGCTGACCCACTGCCTCTCCTTCAACGGCCTCGGGGCCAGGGGCATCTGCAGCCCCATGCAGAGCACGATGCGCGGGAAGCCCTGGGCCAGAGCGCGCTGGGCCAGCCTCGCGAAGCTGATTCCATCGAAGGACTTCGCCAGGTCGAGCCGCGCGGTCGCCGCGGCGACGCCGAGCCCCAGGGCTGTCTCGTCGAGGGTGACGCGGGGGAGCGAGGATTGGAGGGTCGACGACCCGCGCGCGGCCGTATCCCAGAACTCCTGAAAGGTCCCCCTCCAATCACTGGCGACCCCACTCCCCAGCTTGCTCCGCGTCTTCCCGGCGGAGGGGCTGGCCCGGCTCCCTGTCGCCACCGCCCTTGCCCTCGGGGGCGACGGCGCCGATGGCGGCCATGCGCCTGCATCCTCGACGTCGCTGGGCAGGTTGATCATGCGCTGGCTGCCCTCGGTGGGCAGCCTCTGGATCTTTACGGCGCCGAGGTTGGCGACGCCCTTGGCCTCGGCGGCGCCGAGGGCCGGGGGCGGGGGGCCCAGCTGGCTGAGCGCGAGCTGGGCGAGGGTACCCTGCCACGCGCGGCCCATGACCATGTGACCATGTGGATGTTTTCCTGGAGCTGCTTCTGGGCGGCTTGTCGTCGGCCGAGCGCCTCTCCCGCTCGTCCGCCCTGCGGCGCATGGGCAGGTCGGAGGCCGCCACTGCGCGCCCCTCCTGCTGCTTCACTGCGGTCTCTGGCTCGCCAGGTAGGTCTCGGAGCCTCCGCGTGGCATCCTTCCAGTGGCCGAAGTCGCCCCCCTCGTCCTGTCGTGCATCAGGTTGAGCTGGGCGTCGTCGGCTTCCTGCGTCAGCTCGCCGGTCTTGCTGCCGCAGCGCTGCGCCTCGCGGGCCCTCCCCGTGCGTCTTAGCATCTCGGGCCTCTTGAGCAGTGTGACAGCGATGTGCCGCCACTCGACGTGCTGGTCGCGCAGGCGTGATATCGCCGGCGCGGCCGAGAACCTCACCCGCTCGGTAGCGCAGCCGCTGCCCCTGCCAACGTAGGCCCCCCTCTGATTGTACTGGACCTCGTGATGCTCCTGCGCGGCCACCTCCAGCGCCGTGACACACCTCGCGAAGTGGCCGTCGACGCGCCCCTGGCCCTGGGGGCCCCCCGCGGGCAAGAAGTAATCCTCGTGCTTCGCGGCGCCCTCGCGAGCCACTGCCGCCCACTGCCGCCCGCCGCGAGCGGGCGCCGCCGCGACGTCCCCCGTCGCTCCCCCTCTGGCGGCGGCGCCCCTTTTCCCGCTCGCGCCACGCGCTGGAAGGAAAGGGGGAGGGGGGGGGGGGGGGGGGCACCCCTTGCAGGCGGGGCCCGCTGGGGCAACGACGGGCCCACCTCCCCTGCGGGCTGCCGCGTCAAGGGCGCGTGGCATCTGCGGTCCTGCGCCTGGTGTCGGCCGCCCGAACGGGCGGGGCACGCGGTGGGCGGCCTCTGCCGGGGGGTCTCTCCTGGGGCCAGGTCCCACGTCTCCACTGCTGCGCGCGCCGCTGACCTCAGCTCGGCTGGGGCGTGGAAGGCGGCGGTCGGCGCAAGCGCTGCCTCCGTGGACTCGTCAACCTCATCGTGGATCTCGCCGAAAGCTTCATTGCGACCTTCCCGCAGCCTCGCCCTTCTCTCGCCTCTGGCCCTCTGCAAGGCCTTATGCCGTTTGGCGCTGGGGTCCGCCGTCGTCTTGGGCCCGGGGACTTTCGGGGGCGCGTGCGCGAGGTCGAGCTCTCGGCGCCGCCAGTGCCGCTTGCCGTCCGCAATCGTAAGCTTCGGGCCCGCGCGGCCCTTCCAGGGCACCTCCTCAACCGCCTGCAACCTCATGCTAGCCGCCGCTCCCTCGGTGGCAATGGCATCGTCGATGGCGCTGCCTGCCCCTTCTGTCGCACGTGGCCGCGCAACTCTCTGGCGCGAGCCTCTCCGCGCTGAGCTTGGTGAGCCACTGGGTCTTGTCCCACTCCTCGGGCACCCAGTTGCCCGGGATGACCCGCGGGCCCATCAGTTGACGGACGCAACATTGTTGTTCGCAAACATCACCGAGTGGGGCCCGCAGGCCGGAGGATTTGTGCGAGCGCAGGCGGACGAGCGCGTCGTCGGCATGGTGGAGTCCCACGCGAACGAGGAGGCAGTCGGCAAGGCGCGCGCGGACCTGTCACGCGACGGCTGGAATCTTGCGGCGACGGCGGCGCGGCCCACTTGCCGATCAGCGGCGGGAGCGACGGGGAGAGAGTGAATCCTCGCCAAGAATCACATGCAGACCACATCTGTCGAGGACTGGAGAGAAGCAGCCAGAGGTGCATCAGGGCAAGACCCATTCGCTCGATTATGCCCCACGCGCCGGCATCTCAAGTCAGGCGACCTCTGGTGATTGGCCACGCGGCCTTGCGGTTGCTGGCTGCCCCCTGCCCCGGGGCTTCTGCACCGTCAGGAAGACTCCCGCGGAGCGCCAGGTTGGCCCGCCGCTGGGAGGCGCCACTGCTGCCGCCGTGCTCGACCACAGGCGCAGTAGGAGCAGCAGGAGCAGCCGCTGCCTCAGAGCCAGGGCTGGAGGCTGCCCGCGCCGTCTTCGAGGGCCACGGGGGGCGGCGGCCCCGGGCTGCGTCGATGCACTCCTGGAGAGTGGCTGCGAGCATGTCGGGGTCGGGGTCACGCAGGCCTGGCGCCTCCTGGTCCTCCGCGGCAGGAGCCTGCATGACTGTGTCCCAGGCGCTCTGGGACGGGTCCGCGGGGGGTGGAGTCCACCGTCGCCCTCTTGGGCGGCTTGCCCTTGATCTTCTCGACCTTGGCCCATAGATCCCTGACCTTGGCGTCCTCCGCGGCCATGTCCTGATAGTGGGCGTTGAGGGTGGCGCGGTGGGCCTCGAGCTCCTTCCTCTCCTCGTCGTCGAGTTTGTCGGGGCCCTGGTTTAGGAGGAACAAATCGAAGGCGAAGATGACCTTCTTGCCGTCGCTGGTGGTGGCGTCGTCCACCTGCCCGCGGTCCGCGACTGTGGTGGAGAGCGTCTGGACCGCCAGGGCGTGGTCCTGCTTCGCCGTGAGCATCTCTTGGCCAACGTGGAGGTGGCCCTCCTTGGCCTGCTTCGCGAACCCTTCCGCCTTGACGAAGGTGCCCGCTGCCTTCTGGAACGACGCTGTCTTGAGCTCGAGGATAGGGGCAGTGGACTGGACCTGCTGCGTGGGGGTCTTCGTCTTGGTCTCGGAGGCCGTCTTGGCAGCGAGGTCATTATTGGCCAGCTCGATGGCGTCGTTCGGGAGGATGGAGGTGAGCATCTCGAGCGCCTTCTTAAGAGTCTCTGTCTCCGACTGCTTGGTGTAACTGTCGCTACTGCCCTTGCCGTTGCCGCTGCCCCAGCGGCGGGCCTTGGCTACAAGCCACGAGGGCTTCGCAGGCTGCTGCTCGCCGCCGCCCGCGATGCCCGCACGGCCCTTCTGGTACGGCTGCAGCTTCGCACCGCACTTGATGAACTTGCAGCTGTTCCGCTCCAGCCTGAAGTTGAACGCCCACTGTCCACATGCACACGCCGTGAATTGCTGTTTCGCGTTGCCACTCGCATACCCCACGGTGACTCCTGGAAGCGGGAGTCCGACAAGCGCTGGCTGTCGGTGGGCGGGAACTCTTGGCCCCAGCAGCGCGCAGCTGGACTGGGGTTGCCTGAAGCGGAGAAGGAGGAGGAGGAGGAGGAGGAGGTAGAGAGGAGGGAGGAGGGGAGGGGGGGAGGAGGAGGGCCGCCGCTGCCTCGCCAGGCCGCCGCCTCGCCGGCGTGAAGAGAGGCGGCGCAGAGGCCTGCGGCGCAGAGGCCGGCGGCGCAGAGGCCCGCGGCCGCCGCGCCTCTTGCCGGGCCCCCGCGGCGCGGCGGTGCTCCTGGATAAGGGCCTCGGCTGCCTCCTCCTC